ACCTGGAAACACTGCTCAGGGGCCGTAATCCCGCACAAGGTCTTGACGAGGGTCTGCTGAACGCCGAAGCCTGGGAAGGCCTCTGACAAGCCGTCTCGCATCCTAAGACCCGACGCGAAAGGATTGGCTGGAACGGCCAAGGAGTTATTGAGTTATTGCAGCCTCTCATAGAGCCCTACATGGCGCCGCTGCCTCAGTTCGCCTCCTTCCTAGAAGAGGACTGTCGGACGCTCAGAGCAGAGTTGTGCAGCGCCTGAGAAAGGTAAGGGCGCTCTGTCGCACAGCAAAGCCAAGTCGCGCCTTTGCTCTGAACCTATCTCAGGCCTTCGACACTGTTTCAAGACACGAGATTCTGGCTCTGCTACAAGAGCTGGGGGGAGACGTTTTCTAGCACCGCATCCAAGTGGGCTTTGATCGTTTCAGAAGCTGGCTGGATTGTGCCTGATTGTAGTACAACATTAGCGCTGGAAGTGCCTTGTTTCGGAAGCTGGCTGGATTGTGCCTGGTTGTAGAACAACATTAATACGGGAAGTGCCTCGTTTCGCAAGCTGGCTGGATTGTGCTTGATTGTAGTACAACATTAGTACTGGAAGTGCCTCGTTGCGGAAGCTGGCCTGGTGGTAGTACAATATTTGTACTGGAAATGCCTCGTTTCGGAAGCTGGCTGGATTGTGGCTGATTGTAGTACAACATTAGTGCTGGAAGTGCCTCGTTTCGGAAGGTGGATGGAGTGTGCTTGATTGTAGTACAGCGTTAGTCCTGGAAGTGCCTCGTTTCGGAAGCTGGCCTGGTGGTAGTACAACATTAGTGCTGGAAGTGCCCCGTTTCGGAAGGCGGATGGATTGTGCTTGATTGTAGTACAGCATTAGTACTAGAAGTGCCTCGTTTCGGAAGCTGGCTGGATTGTGCCTGATTGTAGTGCAGCATGAGTGCTGGAAATTCCTTGTTTCGGAAGCTGGCTGGATTGTGCCTGGTTGTAGTACGACATTAGTAAGGCGCTGGAGGCGGCTCCTTTCCACTCCGCGCCAGCCACAGGTGTGAGCCTACTCCCCCGCCAAGCTCTACTCCCACTCAGTCGCCCACGCCAGGGTCTGCTGAGAAGCCTCGTGAGAAGGCTTAACTCTCCCATCAGCCGATGAACGTATCGGCTTCAGCAACCGCTGTGCTGACCATGCTGGGGAGAAATTTGGGCACTCGGTGCAGACTACAGCGGCGACAGTGGGGCTTCCGGCCGCCGATACATCAACTATCCCGGCGGACCAGCTCACAGCAGTCAGGTACCAGGGGCCAGTCGTGATTGACGCACCCATTGGCTACGTATCGGGTCCCTCTCTAGTGCCAGTCCGATCAGCTTTTTGAGTGGATTCATGCTTCCGCCACCGTTTTGCTGATCCGCGAGAAGCCTATCATAGGCGGCCTCACAACTGCCATGGTGATTGATTCCTCAAAGTTCGCACTGTCCATCAGGCAACACGCTTGCCAACTCGAGCAAGGGAGCGTATCACTCTACGGAGTATTACAATCTCAAAGCAGTCATGGAAGAGGGCATCAAAGCTGGTAGGGATCTCGTTGGGAAGCACAGCATGTCCGGCCGCTTGCACAGTCATTGGGGTGTATTTCCCACCTTGGGACGCAGGGAATCGAGTGACACGAAACAGGTCAATCGTCAACAGGGGCATTCCTTTGGTCACCATCTACGTTCCGCTCATCGACATTGTTCGTAAAGGAGGCAAAGTGACGGAAAGTGGCGTCAGTGTTTGCAGCAAGCCAATTCCTTTTCGGGTCGTGAAAGAAGTCTGGCTGTGCATTCCAGACGTCCCTGCCCGAAGAAACTTCGAGATGGTGGAAAAGATCTTGGACTACGAGTTGGAGGACGAGCTCTGCTTGGACTACATCACGTCACCAATAGCAGCAGACATGAAAACCTTCCGATCTCTCGAAAAATTGATGGGGCTGTTATGTGACATGCCACATGGCACATGATGCTACCAAGGAGGAATACGTGGCACGACTCGGAGACTACTGCAATGTTCGGTGGAACGAAGTCGACTGGAGACGTTATGATGCGCTCTACTGGAAGGCCACAGATTTCCTCATCAAGCACACTTTACCGAGCACTCAGGCAAGGGCAAACCGTGACTATGAACTTCGTTACAGAATATGTCCTCGGTGCCTTGAAACCGTTCCGTCATGCTTATCCAGATGTGCAAACTGCTTCTCTCGGTTCCTATCTCGCAGAAGACCCCAGAGAGCGATCCGTCAAGCGGAGACTCCTTTGCTGATCCCAAGTGACGTGATCAATCAAGCAGCAGAGGAAGCAGCAGCAGCAGCAGTCAATGCAAATCCTGTCGACGAGGATGACAGACAGACTGTCGCTGCACCAGACGAAGAAAGAGAAGCCGACGAGATAATGTCAGAGCCAGCGCCAGAGATGGAAGACGAGGAGGACACGCCCGAAGTGATCAGCTCTCGTCAGCCAGTGTTGCTCAACGATGCTGACTTTCATTTGGATCCAGAATTGGCTCATGCAAGGTCATGCATGCAGGTACCCATCTATGTTCACATCGAGGCGGCGTTCGCTGTTGATCCAAGGCTCGATGTCGCTCGTTACATGGCTTACATTGTCACGAATTACATGCGCAAGAACTGGAAGGCTAACACGAAATGGTTGGCGATGCCTTTGTCAACGATGAGACAGTTCTTTCAGCAAAGGAAAAGATACGACATTCTCGGTGATTGGGGACTGGTGCTATCAGAAGTCGATAGCAGTAATGGACTTTGACGAGAGGTCACAGATGAAGAAATCCTTGCACACGCGAGAAGTCTCAATGCCGAGGAGGATCCAGATGGCACATACCTGCCTAGAAAGTTCAGAACACATCAGTTGATTTCAACGTTCGTGCGAGGAGCTATTCAGCTTGGGTGTCTTTTGATCCTACTTCCCACATTCATGAGAACCAAGGTGCCGCTGGTGATGCACCGCAGATGCACTCCAGTTGCTATGCGTTGCTGTCGAACATCATCGGCAAGGTGACTGGATACAGACAGTATACGTTACTGCAACCACCGTGCCGCAACGCATATCAAAACGTGTTATGCATTGATCCCTGTGAGACGCTTCTGACAGTCATGGTAGACATGGACATTCATGTAGGCCAAGTTCGTCAACAAGCTTACGCGAAGCAGATTGCAAGCTGGTAACGCCAGGAATGCTACTGCCATAGATCATTTCACTACAAGCTACCTTCCAGACGGACAACAAAGCACTCTGAATCGACCTGTCACTCACGAGGAAGTAGCCGACGTCGAAGTGGAACGCCGAGCCAGAACCAAAGCGCGCCCTCGACGTCCACCGGAACCCCGAGAGCCTCCTCAGCAACAGCAATGTGACCGATGGCAGCACAATCAACGAGCATATGATCATCTTCCGGATCTACCTACGACAGGAACTGCTATCGTTACGACGACTGCTGGGATGAGTGATCTTCTATGTGCACATTGCCGACCGCATCGGTTACAACTTCGCATGTTGGAAATGGCTTAATGCGCCACATTTCGCGCATATTTTCTTCGATGAATGCATCCAATCATTTCTCACCGAAACAGGGGATCGCAGTCGACGTAGCTATGTCTCACACAGCTTTTAATTGGGCAGCTCTACACACACAAGGATAATGCCAAATTGCCGTTGAGTACCTTTTTTTTCAGGTCCCGCGACTCTCTTCCTACAACTGAGGAAAGCTCAAAGCATTACTCATGGGGGGTGCGAAGAGACCTGGAAGCTTATCACAATTCTACGTATCGTACGTATGGGCAGCCTTTGGCGACCATACAGATGAGCTATGAAGAATGTGTGCAGCCTTCGGCTAACACGCTCCTGACAACAATGCTTGCTCCGGCAATCGTTTGGCTCAAGGGCCAAGAGTTCAAAGAGCTCAAGGTCCAAAGGATTAGCATACGTAATCTAACTTTCCAGTTGACAGCCATTGTGTGTATCGCCCCTCTGCACAGACACTTCGACCACTTCAGCGAGTGAGCGCATAAAAGAGGACCGAAGTTGCCTGCACAGGACGCGTCAGTCAATCTCCATTAGTGGGCACAATATTTACAACAAACAGCTCGGTGAGGTGAGCGAACAACGGGAACATCAATACCAAGCCCTCACGCATTAGTAGTAGTTAGTACCAGCAACAGCAGCAGAAGCAGCAGCACTTCCGCACGCTGCTCCGTCCATCGAGTCAAGAGCATAGCGACGAAACAAGCGTTCAACGTTCGGCAGCTCATGGCCACTGTGGCAGTTGCGCATCTCATGACATTCGATTACGGTGTCATCAAGTTCATCAGTCCCTGCTGACTTCAGCCCATGGCACAGAGAGCGAACATAAAACACTCAAACTGAGAATCTGGGACATCCACGATCGTCATTGACGTGCCCGGTTCAAGCTGTGCAGTCGGACCTACCTCATGCTCACTGCTCGCCCCTTTGTCCTTCACTGAAGCCGCAGAGCCATCTTCGGAGTCAGAGATCACCACCACCTCTTTGTGGGGTGTGGCCTGGCTCCCTTCATCAGCCCTCTCACACCAGTCAGGTTGGCCAGCAGCAACAGCAGGAGCAGGAGGAGGAGTAGTAGTAGTAGCAGCAACAGCAGCAGCAGCATTAGTAGCAGTAGTAGCAGTAGTAGCAGTAGCAGAAGCAGCAGCAGTTGTAGTAGGAGGAGGAGGCGGAGGAGGAGGAGGAGGAGCAACCGCAGCCGCGGCAGCAGCAGCAGGAGTAGGAGTAGACGATAGTAGACGTAGGGTCTTCACCATCTACATCTTCATCACCAGCATCAGCATCAGCATCAGCA